CTCCTTATTTTCCTCCCCCTTCTTTTCCTTCTGTCAGCCCTTCATTTTTCATCAGTTTGCCTTAAAGGCCCAGGGTGGATGAGTCAGTGATTCCAACCTGTATTTGCTTAGATACCAACTCCCTTTTAGGGATAGCAATATCATGCTTTAGCTCAGTAGGCAGTCATGCTTTTTGAACAATTTTGACATCTAGAACTTTCTTTTATTAGATATTGACTGCTGCACTCCTCTCTATTTGAAAAAATCATGCTCTCTAGGTTTGCTTTTTAAAAAACAAAAAAACCCCAAAAAACAACACAACCCCCCCAGCTCTTGGCTGCACTGATATCACCAATACAATGAAGAGTCAGAGTGGTTTAATCATTTTCCTTTCTTGTCTACTTGTCAGTTGTTCATTCATCTTCGGTCACTTGAACATCTATCTATTTGCCTTCCTGCCTCCCACTGGTCCTCCCTTCCTCCCCACTCCCAGGGAACCTTAACACTGGCATTGCCAGACCTCATGGCTCTGAATTTTGATTTGTTTGACTTGACAGTTTGGAGGGAAGCTAATACTATGTCTTTTCCTTGCTAAGTAAAGAACAAACTGCAAGTACCTGGAATAAGATAGGCTGAAAAGCCAAAATACCTGGTGAGAAGGAGATCTTTCATGCTGCCACCACAGCAGCATCTGAGTGTTTGCTTGAGCAGGCCCGAGATGCTTCTAATGCACCAGAAATGCCACTATTGCTTGATGCTCTGGAGCTGCAACCACATGCCCAGATTAGGGGTCTCTCACTTAGAGAAGGTGAGGAGGGAGGGAACATTTTCCACCCTGCTTAATTCTGTCTTCATCTGTAAAGCCAGGAGAAAGCTGGAAGGGGAACACATGATGGTATTGTTCTGTGTTAATTTTTTTTCTAATTAGCCAAAGTATTGAAAATGCTTCTGTCTCTTTAAAATAGTGTGGTATTTTGTGCTGTGACTATTACCGTACGTGAAGTTATTTGAGTGAACAGAATAACTTCATGTGTGTTGAGGTGTGAGGTGACCTCATTATTCCTAAATCTGTTCCTTTTTTGTAGCACTTCTTATTCAGCTCTGCTCTTTCAGCTGCTCGAGTGTTTTTATTTCTGCTCTGGTTGTGTAACAGATTTTTTTTTTAAATTTCAGAATCATAGCAACATAAGTTGGTTAGTTGAGCCAACCTGGCAGAATTTAGCTGCTCATAGATAAGACAATAATAGAGCAAGATTAAACAGGTTTTGTGGCTTAATAGAGTAAGAAGCAATACTTGCCAGATTTTACTTTGATGCAAGGATGTTGATTAATGCAAGAGATGTTTCATTCCAATCAAGACTTCTGTTAAAGAAATTTTAAAAAATTATCATTTTGCCATTGCTTGCACAGTCAGAACTTCAGAGAGGTGTTGTGTTGAACACTCTGGCAAATTGGCGTTCCCTGTCTGCCTTCAGAAGAGCATGTCCTGGGGAGCACTGGCACTCTGCAATCAGTGCTTGTTCCGGGGCAGAGGTGCATATCTCCAGGGAGACGCTGCTCCCTTCAGCACTTTCTGCTTTTGCTGTCACTGAGGACTGTGCTGTTGGGACTCTTATCTGGAAATGAGGCACCTGTCCACTCACAAAGAAAAGAAAAAGGTATTTCTCAAAGTTCACTCGGTGGTCTCCAGGCAGCCTTGGTGGTCGTACTGAGTAGAATTTCTTTGAAGAGACAGATTAGAGGTGGATGACTGCATATCCCGTTGCAAATGCCATATATTGACAATTTTTATATGCTAACTTGAAAGTTTTTCCATTTAGACCTCCGGCATTTAAGAGACACACGAGAGATAAGATTGCAACTCTGTTGCTTGAGAGCTCTCTATCACCTCCTGAGTTGTTCCTTTGGGACATGCTTGTCTAAATAACGGATCCCATCTTTTGTATCCTTAACCACTCATCAGAAACTTCCTGGCTCCAGTGGTGTTTGCCTGGTTCATTTTCTGCTGCTCTCTCTTGGTTTCTTGCACTAGCTTCAATATTCTCCACTGATCGCATTTAGCTCTGGAGCATTTGAGTGAGTTGGTGATCTGTGGGGTTTTTACTGAGCAGGTAAGTTTTCTGACTAAGTGTGTTTCCTAAGTTAAAGGTTAGTGCCTATGCCAAACCTATACTTGCATAAATAACCTGCCTATCTACAATTACATATAACAAGTTTTTAGCAGTTCCACTGCCTCCATTTCCTGTTGCATTGAAAATAGTTCCAAATGAAATTTTGGCCAGAGGGGCAAAAATTTTAGTTTGGCATCAGTGGATAGCATTTCTGCCAGTTCAGGTATGTGAATTATGTAATTAATATCTGCATAAGATAATGTAAAAGCAAAACACACCATGTGTGTTTTAGGGGCTTTACATGAACTGGAGTTGTTTGGGGAATAACTAGGACCATTTAAATGCCTACTGCATTACACTTTTCATCTATCAAGACCTAATTTGCAGGTAAGCCAGTTGAAGGAAAACATTTTAATTTTGTCTTTAAACTTTGCATTTTGTCACTTCACCTTTTAATCCTCTTTCATTTAATATTTTGACATGTAACAAAAGCATATGTTTCAATTTTCAACCCTGCTTAAACAGAGAAAGGCTATGGCAATGGTGGCAGGCAGTTCAGATGTGAGTGAGATAAAGCTGATATTAGGAAGTTATAGGGAGAGTGGTTTCTGCCTCTTCGTTGCCAGATTGTCCACCACTTATCTTCATGTCTGTTGTCTGAGTGACGCTGCTTCTCAGCTGTTGCTATGAAAAGTCCTTTGATAACCTTGTGTGATGACTAAATGGTACTAATTGTCCCCACCTAGGAGGCTGTTTCATGGTCATTCAGGCATCTCCAACTTTGATGGTAGATTATGTTATCCCTGTAAGAGGTACCTCTTGACACCTATGCTTTTCAATATTGTAATGTCCATCTGTTGGTTTTCAAGGTGGATCTTAGTCAGTCATGGGGTTTGAAGTGAAAAGACTGCAAAGGACCTGAACAGCTGCAGAATGTGCTCAGGGAAGTGACCACAGCTATGATCCACAGAGTTTCTGCTCAGGTACCTGTGCAGTCTTTTGGATGATCCTGAGCCCTTCTGTAAGCTCTCATGGTCTGAATTAATTCTGGCTTGCTGGTTATTTGGAGGGATGCTAGATCTAGTGCAGCGCTGTGGGAGGAAGGCTTGAGGGGGCTGCATGAGGTGATTTATTGACTGCAGAGAATCTTGGTCTGTCAGCTGCTGGAGTGGCGTAAGCAGCCCTTATAGATGGGTCAAAAAGCTATGCATTTTGTCAAACCAAAGTAGTTTCATCTTCCTATTCTTTTTTTTTCAGCTCTTTTTAATTAAAATGAAGTTGGGCGGAAGTGATTCTCTTGGTTCCTGAGAATGTTTCATTAGTGAAATAAAATGTCTCTAAAGAAAAAAGTTGCTAAAGTCATTATTACACATAAATCTTGATATATCTCCCCCCAAAAAAACACTGGCATGAGATGCCTCAGAGGAGAAAGCAACAGGGAGATATAACTCTCAAGCTTTTTATTTTATCTTCTCTCATTTACAGTTCAATCCCATTTGTCTGTGTTTTATGCAAATTATTCTGTATGTCTATATTTCCAGTGCTTAGAAAGAGGGAGTCGCTAAGCAGCCTAAGATTGTTCAATGTTTTTCCAAATACATGTTTTTAATTGACTTGACAGAGGGAGATTTGAGAAATCAGATATTAGTAAATGCACTATGTACAACAGATTAATCAAAATTTTCCTTTGTTAAAGGCTTTATCTTCAAAAAGTCTCCGCAATTGATATGCAAATGCCAAGGACCTCTGTTGAAACTGGATAAAAACCATAAAGTTTTGTTTCACATTGAGAAAGTATAGTCTTTCTCTAGATCTTGAATTTCCTGAGAAGCACTTTTTGGTCTTAACACCATCAGGATGTGAAAGCGTAAGCATAAACACTTGTTGGTCTTTGGGTAAAAACTTGTAATACGTGATTTTGAACAAACACCATGCAAGAATTGAAAAGACATCATTAAAACATTCATTTCCTGTTGTGGATTTTACTGCATGATTGTTCCCAAGAGAACTGAAAATTAGACCTCCATTTGTATGCCAAACTACAGATCTGAGAGCCTATCTTTACTGGGTATATTTTCCCTTAAATCCTATTGCAAATGCATTTTTGTAGAAGACCGGCACCTCTGCTAGTGGAGCTACTGGATCCATGGGAAGTTTTATCCAGAGCACAGAGAAGTACTATAGTAGGCTTTGGCTCAACTGGTGTTGACTGAGAACTACATAATGAAGCCTTTTTGGGGTTTTATATTCCAAATTTTATTGCTTTCTAAGAGGAATTTGCATCATTGTTGCTTCTTTTATGGTGAATAAAGTCTGCTTAATGCTTGTCTCCATTTCATGTTACTATAGGATGCTTCAGAAAATACTAATGTCTGGCACAAATTTTCTTGGAAAATGCAGCCTCCTGATTTCATGGTAGCTATTGACATTAAATTGTTCTTGTAAAAGTAAAAACATGGATAATACTATAATGTCAGGAATTTTCTTACTTTTTTAAAACCACTGCTGTTATTCATAACACCTATAAAGGGTTGCCCAGTATCCCCAGTATACCTTATTTTCCTTGTGGGACAAGTAAGCTATTTTTGGCTTTGTAGCTGGGGAAGACTGAGCAAAAAGCAATTATATAAACTAATATATCAAATGTAAGATCACCTGGGAGGTCTTAGCTATCAATCTGAAATCACTTTGACTCTTGCTAGTTAAAATCTCCCTTAGCATTTTCCCCAGGGAGAGTGCTAAGAACAGGGTGCTGAAGTACACGCCCAGCCTTATTTCTAAGGCTGTTCCTACAAGCTTCCTATCACGTTACAATATGTCCTTCAGAGTTCTCTTAAAGACAGCAACAAAAAAAAAAAGCCAAACAAACCCTTCTCTTTGGTGATTTCATGGCTTTTGTTTCTTCCTCAGAGAAGATCAAGTCTGGAGTTTCTCTGACTTCGTCTGAAATTGTAGGCATGATCAATTTGTTTAAGAAACCTTGTAAGTACTTGACTGATGGAGCACATGATGTCCTGTCATTTGAAAGTTCACTGTTAAGTTTTTGTGGCTTAGTCTGGAATACTTTCAGTGGGGAGCTGGCTGAGGGGAAAATGTGCTGTGCTTCTTGTTTTTAAGCAGGAGCTGCTGCTAATGTGTGTGCTGCTTTTGTCCATTTTTATGGCAGTCAGAATAAACAGCGTATGTGTGAAGCTCAGCCAAATCCAAACCAAAGAGATTATTCTGGTTTATGTTTTTGCAGGTAATTTCCTGTGGCATTACTAGGAGCTACCTGTTCCACTGTGGGAAACTTGATTCCCCCAATTTGTGTTATGTCACATGCTGTGCTTTTACCATACTATTTGAAATGGCCCTTTTAGCTGATGAAAGTTTAGAATTTATGGACTTAAATTTTGAAGTAAATAGAAAAGTACATGCTTACTTAGGATCATATGGATTATTTTTCAAGATTGTCAAAAAGTTTGCCATTTTAAAGTTTATTATGGTAATTCTAATCTTGACAGGTTTTCCTATGATAATTCTCAATTATCTTTCAGTTGCACTGATACAAAGTTATATGATTTCACTTTTATTGATTACATTGGGTTTGCAGAGATTCTTCGACAAATTTAGAATTTATTTGAGTTAAATGATGTGAATGGACTGAAGCAGTGTTAAGTTTGTACTTATGTGTAAATAGCAAGCATGCTGTCAAGCAATGGTGCTGGATTCATGTGGTGGTGTCCTGTTCATCTCTTTGTTGGTGAAGTTTGGGGACGGGAGGGAGATGGGGGAGGAGAGCCTGGCCAAAGCATTTATAATTAACAAGACTTATTTTCAACATAAGATGATGGTTAACATCATAACATGACTAAAGTTTTAGTCTGTTTTCAGATTTCCCCGTTATATACCTAGTGTCTCTGTTTCCACTGGATTGCATGATTTTCCACATGAGCTTGCGGTACTGAGAAGGTATTAAGAGGGGAAAAGGGTCTGACTAGATTCACCAAGTGCCCTTCAGAACATGAAGTCCCCCTATCACCCTGTCACTGACAGTCAGGTCAAATGCTTTCCCAGGGAAAGAAAGGAGAGAGGAAGGAATGTAAAAAAGCCTTTACTTCGCAACAAGTTATTTAATAGTCTCTAATTATGGATTTAAATGATGAAAGTAGTAAGAAGACTTAGTTTGCATTTACTGTTGAGGAATTCATGTGGGAAGAAGAGACACAAGTGTTTGAAATACCTGACTAGCTCTCTGTTGTCATCAGTTAATAATTGACATGGCCATTTCATTTGTATTTTGTTGAGAAAAACAGAGTAGGCTCGACATATAAAGAAGCTCTTAACTTCCTTTGTGAAGCAGTGGGAGTACAGCGTGTCCATTCATTACAAAGAAAAAAATTTACTTGTGTGAAGTTTTCAGACTTTTTTGGTTTTCCTTTTGTATGCTTCACCAGTGGCACTGTGGGAAGGAAACTCTGTTGCTCATGTGACTTTTACACTTGTGTTAGCTATTATTAGTTAAGCCATAACTGAGCTGCAAGTTCCAGGCCCAGACTTTCCCAGAATTTGGTGCCTGCTTTTGTAGAAAACCATTTGTTCTACAATTACCACCAAATAAAATGGTGTATCGCCGTCTCGCCTTATGCTGGGGTTTATGGTCAATCACTATATGGTACTGTGGTAAAGACTTAAAAATCCCCAACAGACAGTTGTAGGGGATGAGCACATTCACATTGTCATGTGAGACTTTGCTGAAAGCTGCTGTTCTAGGAAATCTTTGCCTACAACCACTTTGCTTGTGGTCCCTTTGCTTTCAGTCTTTTTCTATCCTAGTATGTGCAGTGGTTTCTGAACTTTCTCTGCCTTGGCACAATTTCCCAGGGTAAAGAGCAAATTTTGAAAATATTATGCTATTAAAATCGTACTTCGGATGTTTGTTTCTGATTCCCTAAGAAGCATACCATTTACAAAGAGATGAGTATGACTGACTTACCTTGATTCTGCATAAGTATTAGCAGAACTCCAAAAGACGAGAACATGAATATGGATGATTTATATATCCATGAGCACTCTACATGGGATAGCAATGCTTTCTGTACATAGAACATGAAGTTTTAATTGCTCATGGGTGGAGACAGACACTAATTGTCTAATCCAGTCATTTGTTGTGAAGGCATTCATTATCTTTGTCCTTTAAGATTTCTTTCAGAAAAGTTGTGCAAAAAAAGTTGACCCCATGGGTAAAGGTTGAATTTCAAATTACTCCTCTGCTTCTTGAGCAGACTGGCTGCTGTTGGAAATGCAACACTCAGCTATATGGAATTCTTGTCTGTACCAACCTTGGCATGCATGCATTCATTTTTCCTAATTATTAAACAACTCGCACTTAATGCGTTGCAATTAATTAGTACCTTTTGCTTTGTTACACATACAAAATTATACTCTAGTAAAATGCTTCATGAACTAATTAGATATCTCAACACAGTTGACTTCTGTCCTCTTGTCTACTGGTTTCTTATCATATAGTGAGATTAAAATCTTGTCTCCTTACTCCAAAGATACAATCTCTTCATGTTCCTTTTCTCCCATGATAGAAGAAATTTAATTCTTATTCTGGAATGTTGTTTCCCTAAGTGAGGTGTCCTCTTTAATCTATAGAACAGAGTGCCTGTCCCATTTCACAATATAGCCTAAAGCAGGGATGACCAGCTGCTCTGTGGCTACACTTGCCCCAGCTGACAACTGGAGCGCTGGAGGATAATAAGAGGCTGACTCTGGAGAGGGTGCTTGGGGTATCCTGAAGAACAGGTACAAACAAACCTTACCAGTCTGATGGCATGGTCCAGGAGGGCAGGACAGAGAGACACAGTTGTTTACAATGAGGTCAGATCCTCAAACTTACTAGTTATGGCATGGAGCCCATTCCAGCAGAGGAGAGCAAAGCCCTGTAAAGCTGCCTCGGCCACTTTGCCCTTGCCTGTCAGAACCTCAGGGGACTTCCAGCCACCTTGCTTTTCCCCACTGTGTATCTTGGAACAAAAACTATTTTCAGAAAAAAAAAAAAAAAAACAAAGAAAAATAAACCCCTCTCCCTCTTCAGTTTGGGCTTATTCTGCTAGAGGCCAAGTAATGCTGGTGATGGCTCTGCGTACATAGAGGACTTTGGAGCTGCTGCTTGGGATTCTGCCATGCTGTGTTTCCACCATGGCTGCAAAAGGGTGTCTTTCAGAGAGTTTGTTTCTAGGGAACTCTGAGGTCTTTTCTATGGACAGTTTTTCTGGCAGATGTTTAAAGTAAACAAACATTACAAGGAAGTAATACAGATTGCTACATCTTCTGATCCTTCCTGAGTTGTAAGGTCTTGCACGCATTTTAAGAGCCATCCTTTCTTCCCTCTTCCTTGGCCCTGGTTAATTTCACATGCTTTGTTTAAGAGGCTTTTGGCCTCCTCTGAAGTGGTGTGCAGTGCACGTGGTGACCATGCAGCAGTGGGCTGCCGTAGTGGGGAGGCTTGCAGCTGGGTGTCAGTTCCAGGGATGTACATGTCACCAAGGCACCTCGAGGACGAACAGTTACAGATAGATAATCTGTTTCAGCTCCTATCCAGTGTCTCCTTCCACTTTGTGCTGAAAAAAATGGGAAAAACGCTTCCCTCTGCTTTTGGAAGAACTTAGTAAAAATATTATTGTATTTTTAAAAGCCGTTCAAATAATTTTTGTTACAAAGTAGTGAAATCTCACTGCTCTTGTATTTTCCCTTTTTTGATTACGTGGTTATCCTATTACACAATGCTATCAGGATTGTGTTACCATTAGTGAAGCTTAAGGATACAATATGGGTGATGGGTGATGCCCTCATAGGAATCAGTTTACCAAAACCAAGTACATGTATTTGAACACTTTATAGTCACATGCTTGACTGTGGTTTCCAAACTGGCACCTTCCAGGTAGCAACTGCCCTCCCATTAATGAATATGGATATTTAGAATGCCAGGTAGCTGTATGTATTCTGTCCAGGTGGGGTTTTCTTCCAGATTCATCAGTGATCTGCTCATCTTCATTTAACATCAGCAAAGCAGTGAATTCTCAGGTGGTACTGCAGATTAGTTGTCATCAGATAATTTTCAGTTTACAGTCTGAAACACTTAAACTCAATATCTGTTCATATATGTTGAGTTTAAACTCAACATTAACTGTGACTAAATCAGATCAAATTACATTTGTTCAGAGTAATGTTTTCTGCAAACACATTATGAACAATCTATACCCTGTGGTATATGTCATCTCTCTACCATCAGGTAGAGACATATATGATAAATGAAGCCAAACTAAAAATATAGAATATTTGGAGACTCTCCTATTTTGTTCTGATATTGTGTTGTTATTCATTTTATGGTTTGGCTCCAAATAATCCACGGCAGAAAAGCAGGAAAATTAAAAGGAGGGAATGTGGTTTCTCTTGTAATTGAGACATACCCTCCTGGAGAAAATGCTGCTCTGCATCACCACAATGCTGTGTATTTCTGCTGCACAACTGGCATCTTTCTTTCTTCCATGTAATACGTAAGACTTAGTCTTAAAAAGTGAAGAAGAGGGGATAAAGCAGTGGGAGAAGCCTAGGCTTAACTTTACACTGCACAAAGTTACCCTCATATAACTGACAGTGCTGTCATTTCATATACCTAAATTAAGTGGTTCTTTCCTCTGACTGTCCTGGGTGGGTGTTAGTGCACATATGGCTTTTGGACTTTAGCTCAACTGTTTAAAGAAGTATCAAGATTAGCAGTCATTTAGAGCATCAGGATTTTTCTGACAATGTAGAAGGAAACCTGGTATGAGGATCTCAGGATCTGATAGAGGGCCAACAAGGAGCACTGGGATGATTATTCTCTTCACTTAGAACTTTTAGCTGTAAGTGTTAGTTTTTGCCTTCTCTGTGCCCACAGGGCAAAGCAACAGCTACGTTGGTTACCAAACTCATATTTGACAAATCTTTCAGAA